TGGACATTAAGTTGATTGGAAAAGGAAAAGGAGTGAGCAGTGGTAATTTAATTTTCAGTGACTAGTTTTTTGGCTTCTCTAATTTCAGTATTGTTTGGACATCATTTGTCTTAGGTATTGGTAGCTTCCACATCAATAGTGCTTGCTTCTTATTTATTTATTTGTTGTTTTGGGACAGAGTCTCGCTCTGTTGCCCAGACTGGAGTACAGTGGTGCATTCTCCACTTACTGTAACCCCCACCTCCCAGGTTCAAGTGATTTTCCTGCCTCAGCCTCTCAAGTAGCTGTGACTACAGGCGCTGGCCACCATGCCTGGATAATTTTTGTGTTTTTAGTAGAGACAGGGTTTCACCAGGCTGGCCAGGCTGGTGTCAAACTCCTGGCCTCAAGTGATCTGCCCTCCTCAGCCTCCCAAAGTGCTGGGATTACAGGCGTGAGCCACTGCACCTGGCCTCTTTACTTATTTTCTGAAGTACTTGACAGATTTGGTTTGACTTGTACCTTATAGTTTACTCACCAAATGCTAACAGTATTATTGTTTCAAACGCTTATCTTCTATGTGCAGGCAAAATATTTTAAGAATCTTTTTGTGAATTTCTGTATCCATTTAAGGACACTTATTTAGCATACACTCATTCATTTATTTCTACCAACTTGGTAAACAAAATTGTTTTACATTTAAGTGGAATGGGAAAAGGCTTGTGAATCTTTTGGGGGAAGAAGAGAGTTAAGTAAAATTGCCAGGTGACAGAAAACCTGAACATTTTGGGCAAAATTGTAGAATGACTGGCACCTGACATTGTCATATTGTTTGTAAAATTCTACTCTGAATGTTGAGCATATAGGTACTGTTTCTGTTAGTTCATAGTTTTGCATTTGTTTTGTTTTGTTTTTTGAGACAGTGTCTCGCCCTGTTGCCCAGGCTGGAGTGCAGCAACACAATCTTGCCTTACTGCAACCTCCACCTCCCTGGTTCAAGCAATTTTCATGCCTCAGCCTCCTGACTAATTTTTGTATTTTTATTATTATTTATTTATTTTTATTTTTATTTTTTTTGAGATGAAGTTTCACTCTTGTTACCTAGGCTGGAGTGCAATGGTGTGATCTCGGCTCACCTCAACCTCCGCCTTCTGGGTTCAAGCAATTCTTCTGCCTCAGCCTCCCGAGTAGCTGGGACTACAGGCGCGTGCCACCATGCCTAGCTAATTTTTGTACTTTTAGTAGAGACGGGGTTTCACCATGTTGACCAGGATGGTCTCAATCTCTTGACCTTGTGATCCAACCACCTCGGCCTCCCAAAGTGCTGGGATTATAGGCGTGAGCCACTGTGCCCGGCCAATTTTTGTATTTTTAGTAGAGATGGGGGTTTCACCATGTTGGCCAGGCTGGTCTTGAACTCCTGACCTCAAGTGATCCACCTGTCTCAGCCTCCCGAAGTGCTGGGATTACAGGCATGAGCCACTGTGCCTGGCCTCAAGTTCATAGTTTTATAACACTGTGAATAGTTTTACATTTTCTAGGTGTGAGTTAACATTGGCACAAAAACATTTCAAGTGCCATTGAGCAAAAACACACCAGGCCAGGCTTGGTGGCTCACGCTTGTAATCCCAGCACTTTGGGAGGCTGAGGTGGGTAGATCACTTGAGGCCAGGAGTTCGAGACCAACCTGGCCAACATGGTGAAACCTGTCTCTGCTAAAAATACAAAACAAACAAACAAACAAAAAAAATAGCCGGGCGTGGGAGGGCGAGGCAGGAGAATTGCTTGAACGAGGGAGGCAGAGGTTGCAGTGAGCTGAGATCGTGCCATTGCAGCCTGGGCAATGAGAGCAAAACTCAAGAAAACCAAAACAAAACCAAAAAACCAGAACACACCAAGGTAACTATTTTCACGGCCACTAGAGGGTGTGTGCACCATTTGCTGAAATTACAACTATTCTGCACATGGTGCCTGCTGAGGGAAGAAATTACTTTATGTAAATGAGGATTTGCTGGCCTCCTATGAATAGCCTGTTTTCAACTCTTCATTATGATAAGTCCTGCACTTATTGTACCTTATTGGATGGAATTAAAATATACAAACTGGGTCAAGTTATAATCTGGCACTCATTGTGTCTTATTTTTTGCTAAATTGTAAACTTGATGGAGGAGCCTTGTATTATCCTTTTATCCCTGTTCATTTGTTGGTTAACAAATAATTATTGTATGCCTGCTCTGGGCTGGGCACTCTCTGAGCTGGAGGAATGTAGGGATGAGCAAGAGAGAGGCTTTGTTTCATGGAGTTAAAATGGAAATAGACAACAAACAGGAAAACAACATTTACTGGGTTGGTATCCTCCCAAAACTCAAGTCTGTGTGGAACTTCAGAATGTGAGTTTATTTAGGGTAGGTCCTCGATCCAGTGGCTGGTATCTTGATGAGAAGAGGAGGGGACACAAACATAGGGAAGAAGGTCATATGAAGACAGAGGCAGAGATGAGAGTGGTGCAGCCTCAAACTAAGAAAGACCAGAGCCACCAGAAGCTAGGAAGAGGCAAAGAAAGACTCTCCCCTCCAGCCTTCAGAGAGCATGACTCTCCTGATATCTTGATTTTGAACTTCTAATCACCAGAACTGGGAGAGAATGACTTCTGTTGTTTTAAGCCGCCCATTTTGTGGTCACTTATCACAGCAACCCTAGGAAACTAATGCATGGATACTTTCAGAAAAATCACAAAGAGTGATGTGATAGAATTAGGGGCTGGGAGAAAGGCACAGCTGTTTTAGAAGACACGGTCTTTTGAGGAAATGAGATTTGAGCAGAAACATAAAGTAAAGCCTATATGATGTGACCCATCCCTGGAAGATTGGAGAAGGTGCTCCAGGATGTGGGAACAATAAGTGTAAAGACCCTGAGGAAGTATAAAGACCCCAGGACAAGGATAGAACTGGTGGGGCCAGAGGAGAGGAGAGAGTGGTAGGAGATGAGGTGGCAGAGAGGTTTTGATTGTCTGACCTGATGAAACCTTTGGTTGTCGGTTGAGTGAAGGGAAGAGGAACACTGATAGTGGAGCTCTTGTGGCTGCTTACCTAGTAGCTGTCTAAGCATCTGGGAGAGGGCTAATAGAAACACTGTGCCAGGCTGGGCACAGTGGCTCATACCTATAATCTCAGCACTTGGGGAGGCTGAGGCGGGCAGATCACTTGGTCAGGAGTTTGAGACCAACCTGGCCAACATGGTGAAACCTCTTCTCTACTAAAAATAGAAAAATTAGCCAGGCTTGGTGGTACATGCCTGTAATCCCAGCTACTGGGAGGCTGAGGCAGAAGAATTGCTTGAAACTGGGAGGCGGAGGTTACAGTGAGCCAAGATCATGCTACTGCATTCCAGCCTGGGCAACAGAGCAAGACTCTGTTTCTTTTCCTTTTTTTTTTTTTTGAGATGGAATCTTGCTCTGTCCCCGCCGGCTGGAGTGCCGGGGCATGATCTCAGCTCCTTGCAACCTCTGGGTTCAGGGGATTCTCTTGCCTCAGCCTCCCAAGCATCTGCGACTACAGATACGTACCACCATACTAGGATAATTTTTGTATTTTTTTAGTAGAAACAGGGTTTTATCATGTTAACCAGACTGGTCTCAGACTTCTGATCTCAGATGATGCTCCTGCCTCGGTCTCCCAAATTTCTGGGATTATAAGCATTAGCTACCGTGCCAGGCCTAGATGTTAGGTTTTTGGCAGAATGAAAACCAATGGATTCATTTACTGTTGAATCTTAGAATAAGCCAGTGGTTTAGATTGGAAAGATAGTATATTCCACTACAGATCAGAAGTTTCCTCTTTTATGTAACATATACTGATTTTAAACTTTACCAACAGATTAAATTTCCACCCTAACTTATGGATGCAGTTTTGTTCCAATGATCAAGTTCGCTTCCACAGTGACTTACTAATATAGAGTGTGGTGCTGAGTGTTTTTGGGTTCAAGAGGATTCTTTTCATTTGCCTTGTGCTTTGTGGTTCATCAGTCCTCCTCTTCACCTAACCCTGTGAAAATTGTTCCTCTTCCCACTTCAGGCAACTGAGGCTTCATATTGAGGGGTTGACCCAAGGCTGTTCTTTCAGCCACCAGATCTCAGAGTTCCGCTTAGGTCTTCTGACTCCAAGTCCAGCACTCTTTCCTCAAGGATCTCACAGTTTGACTTTTAAGGCAGATATAATTGTTACAGAACAAAATCTGACTGAATGAGTGCCATAGCGCCTTCAAAGAAGGAAGAATATATCTGGTAGGGGACAGTTAATTGGTTTCACAGAATGAAGGGGCATTCTATGCCCAGCTTAGAGAAGTAGATGAGCAGGTGGAAGTGAGTGTGTAGGACAGAGGAGCCAGAGGGCCATAGATGGGTCCCCTGCAGACCTGAGGGAAAGGAGAGTTGCCATTGTGGCAATGCTGGGTTTTTGGCAGAGTGGGGGATTGGCGGGGGTGCGGGGGGTTCTATGGTTTGTTTCCCATTGAGGGGCTTGATTACAGGTGAAGATTAACCCTAATTTCCAGCAAAGTGTGGAGGTATGTTTGCAGTGAGTGAAAGTGATTCAAGAAGAAACTTAAGGTTAAAAGAAAATTATTGACATAGCTTGTCTAGAGTTACTGAAAGTGATTGAGAGCATGAACTTGCTGATGAAGATTTGAGCCTGGGAAAATTGTACTGTCAACAGAGTGTGGAAAGACCTACTCATGGGACAGAAGGAAGTTTTAGCTTTGAATGTTCCTGAATGACCACAGTGCAATCCTGTTAAAGCTGCTGCAGCTCCATCTCTTACCCTCTTATTATTGTTAAATGGAGGGGAGGGCATATTCAGCCCCAACCTGCAATCTTTCTTATGTGGTTACGCCTTTTGAAAAAATGAAATGCAACAAGATGCATTAATTGTCGATTATAATGTGTGCTTCTTGTTTTAAAATATCCTCCATTATACTGTGACTGACAGTGCCTCAGTTACCTGATTCTGCTCTTTTTCCTACAGCCTGGAGTACTCGGGTACTTTGAGTTCAGTGGCTCACCCCAACCTCCTGGTTATTTGACCTTCTTCACCTCAGCATTACATTCATTAAAGAAAGGTAAAAAATGATTCATATTAAGACATGAGTACTTCAGTAGAATTGATACTGACATCTTTACCATGTATTATTATGAATATATATTTTAATTTGTTTGATTGCTTTCCTTAGTGTATTTTTATTTTATTTTATATATTTTTGAGATGGAGGCACGATCTTGGCTTACTGCAACCTCTGCTTCCCGGGTTCAAGTGATTCTCCTGTCTTAGCTTCACAGGCACCCACCACCACTCCCAGCTAATTTTTGTATTTTTAGTAGATACAGGGTTTTGCAATGTTGCCCAGGCTGGTCTCCAGCTCCTGACCTCAGGTGATCCACCCGCCTCCGTTCCCAAGTGCTAGGATTATAGGCGTGAGCCACTGCACCCAGCCATCAATGTATTTTTAATAATTACATTGTTTCATGTTCCATCATTAGCAAACAGGAAGTACTGTTCTATTTCAAGTATATCCTCTCAGATGTTTTGCTTTTTAAAAATAAAGCGTGAGGCGGGCACCGTGGCTTATGTCTGTAGTTCCTCCCAGCACTTTGGGAGGCCAAGGCGGGTGGATTGCTTGAGTCCGGGAGTTTGAGACCAGCCTGGCCAACATGGCAAAACCCCATCTCTACAAAGAATACAAAAATGGGGGGTGTGGTGGTGCACACCTGTAATCCCCAGCTACTTGGGAGGTTGAGGCAGGAGAATCGCTTAAACCTAGGAGTCAGAGGTTGCAGTGAGCTGAGATTGCGCCACTGCACTCCAGCCTGGGAACAGAGCGATACCCTGTCTTAAAAAAAAAAAATACACACACACACACAGACATGCACACACATATATGTGTACATGTTGGGCGTGGTGACTCACGCCTGTAATCCCAGCACTTTGGGAGGCCAAAGTGAGTGGATCACCGGAGGTCAGGAGTTCAAGACCAGCCTGGCCAACATGACAAAACCTCGTCTCTACTGAAAATACAAAAATTAGGTGTAAAAAAATTACACCCACCTATAGTCACAACATCTTGGGAGGCTGAGGCAAGAGAATCGCTTGAACCCGGGAAGCAGAAGTTGCAGTGAGCCAAGATTGTGCCAGTGCACTCCAGCCTGGATGACAGAGCAAGACTCCATCTCAAAAAAAAAAAAAAAATATATATATATATATATATATATATATATATGGCTTGATCATACTGTATCTGTAATTATGTATTTTGTGCTTTAAAATTTGTTACATCATTTTTTTGTTTGTTTGTATAAAGGTTTTGATCAGCATTGTTAGTGGTTATCAAATCTGTCAGGTTATAATTTAGCAATACATTTCCTTTTAGAAGTAGTTTTATAGGTATAAAACTCATGTCACATTATAGCATAGGCTTCTGCCAGCTTCTCACATCTGTATTTTTCTTTTGACTTATTGGAATCGTACATTGTTTGGTGTCCTGCATTTCAAGTGAAAGGTCATATTCTCCCAATTTTTCCATGTTGTTCTGTGCTCTCTCAGTCCTGACTCTAGAGCTTGTCAGTTCTGTGTCAGATACATTCTTATCTGCTCGCTTGTCTCTGTCCTCTTCGTTACCACTCCGATCGGTGCCCATTCACCCACACCTGGACCCGAACAGTGGACGTGTAATTGGTATCCACGCACCCCTCCTTCCTCAGACTGTGGCCTTTGCACATGCTAGGTCTTCTCCCTGGAATGTGCCTTTACCCTTAGGGCCCAGTTCTCCACCCATCAGGGCCCAGTTCTACAATTAAATAACTGAAACCTCTACCCCAGTCTAAGTTGGGTACCCTGTTGTTTCTTTTGTAGCACTTAACACAGTTTGCATTTATGTATGTGGTTACAAGATGATTTATTTCATGTCTTTTTCTTTAGACTAAGATTTCTGAGGGTAGGGACCACATTCTTCAGATTAGTATTCTTTCTGTACAGACTGGCACAAAGCAGGGGGGTCATCAGTCTTTGCCAAGCAAGTGATCACGTTATCTTCCCCAAGTAGATCAAGCCTATCATCTTCCCCCAGTAGATTAACGAAAAATACGTAACTATACTTTTATTATTTTTATTTTTGGGATATTAAAACAGTATGTATGAAACAATTACATGACTGGCCATTTTAATATATACCTTGAAGGTTTTATGCACTGAGTATCTACTATATTCACATAGTATGGGAGACATTGGGGGAGAAAATCAAGCTGTCTTATGTCTGTCTAATTGAAAGACTTTGAGCTATACGGTTTCAAGTGTCTAAGAAGATATAGCAAATAAAGTTTGAACTTTGAAAACAAAATACTGCCAACTTAAATAAGCTTAAGAAGCATCCATTCAAAGCTCTTCATGGAAAATTAAGCAAAGCCCTTCAAAGAAGACAAGACCTTAATGAAGATCATATATAAAAGGGTAACCTAGAGTTATTCACTAAAGTGATGGTTGTATTCAAGTTCTTGAGCTGAAGAGGCTATTTCAAGGTTGTAGAAGCATATTTGTCATCTAGGCTTATATTTTGTGCTGCTATGCTGTATTAGAAATACATTACTCATCTTGAATTATTTTTTCATTCAGAGGTTTCTAAAATGGTGTTCCTTTTAGGAATACCCTTCTAATATGAGACAGTAGCCTTTTTTTTTTTTCTGAGACCGAGTTTCACTCTTGTTACCCAGGCTGGAGTGCAATGGCGCGATCTCGGCTCATCGAAACCTCCGCCTCCTGGGTTCAGGCAATTCTCCTGCCTCAGCCTCCTGAATAACTGGGATTACAGGCATGCACCACCATGCCCAGCTAATTTTTTGTATTTTTAGCAGAGATAGGGTTTCACCATGTTGACCAGATGGTCTCGATCTCTTGACCTTGTGATCCACCCGCCTTGGCCTCCCAAAGTGCTGGGATTACAGGCTTGAGCCACCGCACCCGGCTTCTTTTTTTCCTTTTTTTAAGCAAAAGAAGAGTAAAAAAAGTGATAGAGATAAAATAAGGCTGAAAGGGACAAATGAATAAAAATTACTGAAAGGTACAAAATGAACCTCCTGGGTCAAATCACTAATTTTGACAAATTTATATGCAAGCTGTTTTTATAATAAATGTGTGATCTGATTTATCTTTTCTACATCTCTTCCCTATCCTGTGATTCTAGTAGGATTTTGTAAAATTCTGTTGCATTTCCGAGATTGCAGGAGCCCAGATTAATTCTAATTAATCCTTTTCACCCCATTTTTTTTTTTGATGTGTGGCTAAATTCACACATTTGGAAATGATGGTTTTCTATAGTATGTGCACTGTGAATAATTCCCTGAAGTGATATTGCCTTGGGCATCTGAGGTTTTTCTCCCTTTCTTCTACCCTGAAGTCAAATGGTATTTTCCTTGTTATTAACAGCAGATGTGCAGTAAAAGGTAGGAGAAATGTGCACACTTAAAAAAAAAAAGATACAGTTTCAAATTCAATTCTAGGTCAATGTCACATTTAGATTGTATATACAAATCTAGGTTGGAGAAACATTGGACACATGTAACATTTCGTTGTAGAGAGCTGAACTGAAGACCTGTTTAGACTGTGGTGGTAGAAAGCAGGTGCCTTGGTTCAGCAGGCCACAAGCATTTTTACAATGCACATGCCTTTCCCCTGCCTTAATGATTTTTTAAATTGTCTTAGAAATAGCCAGGCCACTTTCCGAGTTCTACATTTGTTTTTTTTTTTTTGAGACGGAGTTTCGCTCTTGTTACCCAGGCTGGAGTGCAATGGCGCGATCTCGGCTCACCGCAACCTCCGCCTCCTGGGTTCAGGCAGTTCTCCTGCCTCAGCCTCCTGAGTAGCTGGGATTACAGGCACGCACCACCATGCCCAGCTAATTTTTTGTATCTTTAGTAGAGACGGGGATTCACCATGTTGACCAGGATGGTCTCGATCTCTTCACTGCGTGATCCACCCGCCTCGGCCTCCCAAAGTGCTGGGATTACAGGCTTGAGCCACCGCGCCCGGCCTTACATTTGTTTTTTGAAGCTAGCTGGCCATCAGTACATAAATAATTTACCATTGTACCGCATCTGAAACATCACAGGCCTATAGGGTGTGCTGTGAGGAGAGCTTATTTCTGCCTTTCAACATGCAAGGCTTGGGTTGTAAGATCAGGTTCTGTGGTCCTTCATTTCCCACTTAACACGACTTGTCTAACATTTGCTATTTTTACACATGAAAATAAATGAAGTTCACTTACAACCTCAGCGCTGTAACAATAACTGCTTTCTCTTGTTGTGTTACCTGTTTCCTTTTATCTAGGTTATTTGCGTCCTTCTTTGAGGGCTCTACTTTTATGCTGATCTGTCATCTTTTACCTAGACCCACCTTTTACATGCTGTGGACAGGAACTCTTGCACATATTTTTGTCCATTATTATGTTAGCTTTTTAAATTTTATCATTATTTATATAGCGCTTTCATATTTTCATGTAGTTAAACCTCGTTTTTTTTGAGATGGAGTCTCGCTCTGTCACGCAGGCTGGAGTGCAGTAGTGTGATCTTGGCTCACTGCAACCTCTGCCTCCCAGTTTTAAGGGATTATCGTACCTCAGCCTCCCAAGTAGCTAGGACTACAGGTGCTCACCACAAGGCCCAGCTAATTTTTGTATTTTTACTAGAGATGGCTTTTTGCCATGTTGGCCCCTGTTGGTCAGGCTGGTCTCAAACTCCTTACTTCAAGTGATGCACCCCTCCCCGCTATGCCTGGGCCGGCTCCCATAGTGATGGGATTACTATCATTACAGGCATGAGCCACTGTGCCCGGTCTTCTGGTTAGTTTTTCTTGCCCTTTTTTTTTACCTGAAAATCTGATGACTATATTATTTTCTTCTTATTTTTTTGAGACAGTCTCGCTCTGTCGCCGGGCTGGTGTGCAGTGGCACGATCCTGGCTCACTGCAACTTCTGTTTTCTGGTTTCAAACAATTCTCCTGCCTCAGCCTCCCGAGTAGCTGGAACTATCACGCCTGGCTAATTTTTGTACTTTTAGTAGAGATGGGGTTTCACCA